TAAAATTACTACATGTGACTTTAAATGAGCATCCTAACTTTCTTATGTTTCTCCATCTGTGAGTGAAGTTAGCTCTCTTTCTTTTCTCTCTCCCTGAAATCAGCAGCTGGACCTTTAGCTGCAACACACTGTGAGACAAACTGCACACAAAGTTTGTGTTTTTGCTGATGATTGTTGAGCTGATAGAAACACTTTTATACCTCTTCTTCTGTAGTGCTAGCTAGATTCTGCAGTACGATCAGCAGTACTTGGCTTCAGTTTCAGTAAACCCTGAAAATCTTAGAAATAGAAATATTTTTAAACATTTGCATTCTTCAAATCCACAAATGTAATTATTTAAATTGCTTTGTTTGATTATTTATGAGACAACGTTCAGTGATCAAAGCACGACAAAGAGCTGGTCTGTGCGCCGGTCCGACTGTGGTCGCATCCTCATTCATTTATTTGTATTAACAATTTGGTCTACGTCGCTGCCCTTTACTTTATTAAACACACATATATATTTGTACTATATGTACTCAGTTATTGTGTTGTCTCTTGTATCCAGCCCACCTGGAAGCAGGAAGGTGGACAAACCCCTCCTGCAGGGGATCCTGCTGCCCGGTGTGACTTTATAGTGTAAATGTGATCTGGTCTGAAACCACATCGAGATCAAATGTTAGATACATTTCCAGAAAATGTTGAGTGGAGTCTGGATTTTAACTGTGGGGTTGCTAATTTCCATCTTTGGAACGTACACCAGTAAACATTTTTTAAAGCAGTTATCAGACGTTCTTATCAAACGCAGCTGAATGTTTAAAAAATGCGGTAGATGTAATTAGGAGTCATCCCTTAGATCACAGGCTTCCTCGCAGCCTCCAAGTACAAGCAGCACACCTGTGCTGCCCCTCGGCAGGCTTCCAGAAATGGACATCAGAGCTAAAGCAGCTGAACTACAGGGGGCACGTACAGGAAGAAGCACAAATGAAGCTGAACCTGCGAAGCTTCTTATGTGAAGTCACAAAGTAAAGACTCCACCGTAAGTAGTTTAATCAGCTAAATGTTGAAACCCTCAATAAACCCAATGAAGCACAGGACACAGAACTCAAAGAAAATCAAGTTTTATTAGAACACGAAGCAAAGCTCACTCAGAAAAATAAAGCTTCCTGTCGCTCTGTAAAAATGTGTCTCACTGGCAGCTGCAGAAACATTCGGAGTAAATAAAGGTTCCAACACAGGTGAAGACGGGTCAACGTGAGGCGGCTGATCACAGTGTGTCCTTTTAAAAAGCTCGAGGCCAGTGGACTAATGAGGAAACAGCTGGATTAGAGGTTTACATCCCAGCTGTGCTGCTTTCACTGCCTCACGTGCTCAGACACAAGGTCCTGTGTAAGTTTCAGCTAGAAGCTCTCAGAGCTGCGATGAAGACGAGACTTTCTAACGTGGCAGAAACCACAGTGCAGTGTGAGCTCCACAGCTGAGCTCGCATGATCCCACCACACCACAGAGGAAGAAGCTACAGGTTAAAGGCCAGCAAGTAACACCATCTGAATCCAAAATGTTCACAACAAAGATCAAACACAGTGATTTCACTAGAATAAAAACCTTGGGAAAAGGACAAACCGTCCTGCAAACCCCCTGAAAAACAGTTTAAAATCAACAGTTTAGTGCAAACAAAGTCAACTTAAATCCAAAAAGTCTAAAAGCTCAATAACACACAAACAGTCTTCCTCTGTCTCTAATAAGGAGTCCCTCATGGAAGCGTTTCAGGGCCTCTGCTGTTTCCAGTAAACCTGCTAAAACATTTAAAGCTCCGGCTTCACCCAAACCTCCAGTTTGTGTCATTTCCAGGCAGAGAGGATGAAGAGCTGGAGGTCCAGGCCAGGAATCGTGTTTCAGGAAGAAACCTGTCCTCTGACTGAGTCTGCAAGTGCTTACATGCCAACATGTTAGCTGGGAATCGCGGTTTCCGGACTTTGTTCCTTGTGATGAGCAGCGACTCTGAATGCTGTCCTGAAATTTCTCCACCCAAGTCTGAATCCTTCATCGTGAACTTCTTTGTTGCCCTAAAAATATTCAGAAACGTGAGTGTGTGCACGGACGTCAGGGGACGCGCCGGGCCGGCTCCACGTTGTGCATTTGGTCCCATCCTCGGAGTTTGTTTAGTTCAGGTAATGTGTGTGCTGCCCCCTGCTGGCTCCTGCTATGATGTCACGTATGTGAAGGTGTACGATTGGACTTTACTGTTAATGGTAATTAGAAGTATACTGGTTTTCACGTTCCTGTGGTTTCCTGTTAGTGACACAGTGACTGAGGGTAAATTTAGAGTGAATATGAGACGTGACTGCAGATGTTCCTTCTGTAACAAAAACATCTGTCCAGGTTTAGGCTGCCGTTCAGACAAAAATAGATATTTAAAGATGGTTCCCTGAGTATTTCCTTTAAAAAAAAGTTAATTATGCAAACTATTTGTAAAATAGAAATCTGTCTGAACAGATGTTTCATGTGAAGAATGCATCATTAATTTTCTGTATAGAACACATTGAAGCTGCTGTTATTACACTGAAGGCTGAGGGCCGGCTGCTGTCCGCTTCACTTCCTCATTGCAGTGTAAACATGACTGTGATAAGAGTGCAGGCCGAGCGTGGACTTGAAGGCACTGTGAGGACTTCCTGGTTGTCATCACCTGCTGCATTGGTAGATTCCTGCCTGGCTGTGCGCAGGCTGACGGCCGCAGGTCAGACCGAGACGGCGACAAGGCGATGAAGGCACGGCGGTTTCTTAATCGATGAGTTCACAAATGTGCGGTGAACTCTCCGCAGTGAGAGTTTGTACATTCAGTGTGTGCATCTAAACAGCAGCTCTGAAGGTGGGGTAAGGTCTCGCCGTCTTCAGACAGGCATACCGCACATTCGATTTCCCATTAGAAAAATAAAGTTATCAAAATAAAAGCCCATTCTGTCAAGTTCCCTTCAGAAAGACCTGATTACAGTTTATTGCTTTGGAGGCAGTCGGTCCTACAAAGAAGGGAAAAAACACTTTAATAAACTCGTTTAAATCCAGAATAACATCAGACTGGTTCAAGTGGCAGCGTCCGGTTTGTTAAACTGGGTCTGGATGCACGCTCTGGGTTAAACTGGTTTGCCAGGTCTGGGTCGGGTTACCTGGGTTTAGCCGGGATCAGGACCGGAAGACGTGGACGGCTCTGACGACGTACTGGCGACACATGGGGCACTCGCTCATTCTCTTTCCACACTTGGTGCAGGTGACCATGTGACCGCACTCCAGCAGCACGCAGTCGATGGGGCAGTCCATACAGATCTTACAGAGGTTCTCCTCCAGACCTCCGGTGCCGACACCACCCGAGTCTGGAGACGAAGGAGCGACAACCGCTTCTTTAATAACAGCATTAAACACTGACACTGTCAGCGTTACTCGGTCTGCTTTAGGGAAACTTCACAGACTCACCTGAAGCGTTCACAGCGTTGGCCGCTGAAAGCAAAACAGAAACACAAGAAAACTGTTGGAGAGTTTGAAGAACGGAGGCCTGTGTGCAGCATCCTCTTTGAACCGAGAGGACGTCCCCGCGACGACAGGACATCCTCTCGTGAGGAAACGTTTCCTACTCTAACTCATTTTTCACGTCTGTGATCAGAGCTGATCAAATTTAAATGCTGTACAGAGCGCTTTGAGAACTCCAGGAGAGCAGAAAGCGCTCTATAACAATCAGTTCATTTACCATTTGGTGCAAACGTGAACCAAACAGGAGAAACTCAAAATTACTTCCCTTTTGAATTTTAGTGCACTTTGTTTTCTTTGAGTGTCATTAAATGTTGCCATTCTGCACCATGAAAGCTGAACTGTAGGGGGCGCTCTCCTGTCTGTTTCATGTTAACGGTGGACTCTCACCCAGCAGGTTCTGCTGGTCCTGGTACAGGCGCCTCACTCTCTCCATCAGCTCCCACTTCTCACAGCAGCCTTTGTAGTCCACAAAGTTCCTGGCCAGGATTTCCTTCAGCTGCCGGACGCTGAGCGCCTCGATGTCATCCAGGCAGGTCAGGTCCGCCAGAGACGCCCTGCGGCCGGTAACCGGGGCCTCTTCGGGGTCCCAGGTCTGAATCGAGACACAGAGTCACTCAGGAAACTCAGACTCGGGGTTAAAAACAGAACCAGGAAATAAGCTCCCTCTGAGCTCTCCCTCTCATTATTGGACACTTCTGGGTTTACCTGGTCTTCATCCTGAATGTCAGGCTCAGCAGGGGCTGTCTCTGTGGGTGGGGCCGGGGCCTCGGGGTGTACAGTGGGGGGGTCAGGAGTTGGAGTTGGTGTAGGTGTGGGGGGCTCGGGAGTGGAGGTGGAGATGCGAGGTGCTGGCGAACGAGAGGTCACAGAGGGCGGGTGGGTGCTCGGGGTCTCGGGGCCGGAGCTGCTCGACGGGGACGGCTGCTGACTCAGAACCAGCTCCACCAGCTCCTCCTGCAAACAGGAAACAGCGAAACAACTGCCGATTCAGCAGGAACAAACTCATCATTTAGATCATTCAGCAGCAAAAACTGTAGATGGTTTTAATGGAGACGTCACTAGAGAAACCCTCTGCCTGGATCCCACAGGGCGGGACCAGGAGACACACAGGTGAGCGCCCAGTGTGTGTGTGCAGTGTTTAATAGTCGTGACACTTTACAGCTAGTTTGCAGCAGACGTCTGCCCGTGCTTGCGTGCTCTGCAGGACGCGGTTACATGCTACACCTGACGTCTGCTTCAACAGCATTTCTCTCTTCGTGTCTGAAGGACTAAGCTATGCACACACAGCAGCCCACAGACCGGCTGTTTGTGACACCGCCCCCTGGTGGAGGTAAACAGCTACAGCACGGAGACCGAGTCATTACGGGTTAAACATCATCAGACCAGGCGCACAGCGCACAGGCACAAAGATGTGAACAGAGAGGAGTGTGCTCCCACAGGAGACCAAATATTTCAGCTTTG